GTTGAGGGAAGGTGCTGAGCAGACCCGCATCCTCTCAGCCGTTTGTGGAGAAGCCCTTTCCATCGCAGCGCCATGGCTGCTTCTACAGTTTCCTCTCAATCTCCCTCTCCTTTCCTGTTGCTTTTTTTTAACCCACTACTGTGGTTACTTCTCCCTCCCGCTTTCCTCGACCGTGAACTTGTGGGTGTGCATGTTCCTCCTTCCTCTGGGTAACTAATGCCGGGCAGCCCCGGGAAGGGAGGAGCTTTCCAGAACTGAGTTTCTGTAACATTGACCTTCTGCGACTCGGTGAGCGTGTTTTAAGGGGTTTTACAGCAGGCGGCTTCTGTCTCGGCAGTCTCCTTTGGTCTCTGAACGACCAGCTTCGCAGACTTTCTCCAGCTCTGTCGTTCTTCAGAGGTCCCAGACGAATCCAGGTGAAGGTGAAGCATAATTTCGTTTGAAACGGAGAAGTAATTACTCCACTTGTTTTCTTAAAATTCAGAAGCCCGAAGGATGCCATTGTCCAGCCACTTCTGTTTGCATTTCTGGACATTCTCTAAAATTCAGATGGGAAGCCCGCTGAGACGAGAAAGCTGTGGACGAGACGTGATGGCCTTAAGCCCCTTCTCAGCGTGTCTTCCCTGCACCCTTGTTGATTCCCCCATCCTGAGGGCACCTGGCCGGTGGCCAGGGAGAAACCCACAGGGAGGGACCAGGCTTTCCATCCCTTGACTCTTTCATTTTTATATTATTTTATTGAAGTATAGTCAGTTTACCATATTGTGTCAATCTCTGGTGAACAGCATCGTGTTTTAGTCATACACATACACACATACATTCCTTTTCATATTCTTTTTATTATAAGTGACTACAAGATACTGAATATAGTTCCCTGTGCTACGCAGTAGAAACTTGCTGTTCATCTATTTTTATATATAGTAGTTACTATCTGCAAATCTTGAACTCCCAATTTATCCCTTCCCACCCCGTTACCCCCCTGGTAACCATAAGTTGTTCTCTATGTCTGTGAGTCTGTTTCTGATCTGTAAATAAGTTCACTTGTGTCTTTTTTTTAAGATTCCATATATGAGTGATCTCATATGGTATTTTTCTTTATCTTTCTGACTTACTTCACTTAGAATGACAATCTCCAGGTCCATTTATGTTGCTGCAAATGGCATTATTTTATTCTTTTTTAGGGCTGAGTAGTATTCCATTGTGTATATGTAGCACAACTTCTTTATCCAGTATCTCTTGACTCTTGAAGCAGAGAAGAGAAATTGCCCACCCTTGTGGGATCACCCAAGGGACTTACTGAATCAAATCTCCTACCCTAGGCATGGCTGATGTTAATAGGAACACACACATCTTACCACTTTCCTAGCATAGCAGGGGAGCCCCCTCAACCCAGCCTGCAGGTGGTGACATGGGGCTCACACACCGGGACAGAGTTGACTTGCACTTGTGTTTGTGTATTTGGCAAGTGTACACATTGGTTTTAGTGAGAGTGAGAGAGGGCTGAGTTGGCTGTCTTGTTAGCACCTGTGCTTGCATATTTAAACTATATTTAAGGAATCCTTGACCCAAAGAAATGATGGGGCTGGGGAGCTTGAGAGAAAGGGCATCCGGCTCGTTGACACCAGCATCTCTCCTATTTAGATTATTTATGGCTCCAGGTTCTTTTCTTTGAGAAAGAAGCTTTCTTCAGGGTCCGAGAAGACAGCAGAGGAGGGAGGGAGCCGGGGGCAGCTCGTGTCCCGCCAGCCCCTTTGTCTCCACTGTTACCCAGCGTCCAGCTTTTACACTGACACAGGGATCCGTAAGGCCCTTTGGTCGGATTGGACGCAGCCCAGCTTTCGTTCAGGGATGGTCTAGATCAGTGTAGGGTGGATGGCAAGCGTTAGGCTTATGGCAGGTTGCAGATTGGTTAGAAAACAAGCAACTTAATTACAGGCCCCAGGCACTTGCTGAAGCTTGTCCTGGGGGCGCCAGGCCCCCTCTCCTGTGAGCTCCAGCTGACAGCAGCCCTGATATATGCGCCACGGCCCGCTTTCACTGTCTCTTTGGAGCATCCTTTGAAAAGCATCGGGGTGCTTAGGTTGACTGATCTCATCGGCTGAAGGCAGGACCAACAGGTTTTACTGAAAATAATCAAGCAGGCTGTCCCCTGCCGGCGGGGAAGGTCCGACTGCGGGGCGGAGGCGGGGCTGCGCCTTTGTGCGTCTCCCTCTCCGTGACCCGTACTTCTGCACGTGGTCTGTGCTCCGTGGCAGTGACGAGGCCACACCTCTGTTGTGTAATAGACGCAGCTCCCTGTCCAAGCTCTTTGAGGGCCTGCCCGACTTTTCGGCACCCCCTCCACTGCTTTTCTCCGTTTCAAAGAATTCTCTCCCACCGTTTTAACGGTAAAATACGGTTTCTGGGTGATCGTCATTTTCTTAGAAGGCCTGCTTGCAAACAACAGAAGTGAATGGTGGTATAATAAGGCTAAGAGGAACGTGTTGGTCATTGGTGTTCTGTGTGTCTTTGAACGTACGCACGAGCACGTAGCCACCCGTGTGTGCACGTCACCTTTATAATCCATTTTTCACGCTCAATTCACCCTTCCTTGCTTCCATCCTCCCTCTCCTCTTAAAGACGCCGGTAATTTTTTTTTAAGTTTACGGATTTTATATTGCAGAGCAATTTTAGGTTTACAGAAAAACTGAACAGAAAGTACAGGGGGTTCTTGGAGCGCTCACCTGCAGCCCTCCACGTGCCCGCATCTGCACATACGCACACAGCTCGTGTGTCAGTGTGGTGCATTTGTTGCCGTCCATGAGCCAACGCTGATGTGCTATTAGTAGCTGGTCCGTAGTTCACCTCGGGGCTCACTCTTGGTGTTAACACACTCTGTGAGTCTGCACAAATGTATCATGCCATGCACCCACCATTATAGTACCATACAGAATGGTTTCACTGCCCTGAAAACCCCTCTTCTATTTACCACCCCTTGGCGTTCACCGATCTGTTTACTGTCTTCATAATTTTGCCTTTTCCAGGATGCCATAGAGTTGGGCTCAAACAGCATGCAGCCTTTTCAGACTGACTCCCTTCACTTAATAATGTGCATTTAAGTTCCTCCATGTCCTTTCATGGTTTGAGAGCTCACTCCCTCTTGATGATGAGTAATATTCCATTGTCTGGAGGTACCACGGTTTCTCCATTCACCTGTGGATGTTTTGGTTGCTTCCAAGTTTTGGCAATTATGACTAAAAGCTGCTATAA